GGCGGCGTGGGCGGGGGGCTGGAGCGCCCCGCCCCGCAGACCTCTTCTCCGAGTGCTACAGCAGCAGCCAGGACCGCGCCTTCGCCCTGCTGGTGCGCCGCAACCGCTGCTGGGGCAGGACCACCTGCCTGCACCTGGCCGCCGAGGCCGACGCCAAGGCCTTCTTTGCCCACGACGGGGTGCAGGTCAGCCGGGCGGCCTGGGGTGGCCGCGCCCTCCCGGCCACTGCGTCCCAGCCCTGCGGTGGGGCCCCAGGGGCCCCTGCCTCCCCCACACAGGGGTTCTCCTGCGGCGCAGGCCCCCTCCGGAGCCCGCCCCCGGGAGGCTGGGCACGCTGTGGAGTGGGGGCCACACTGTGCCTTTCTCCCAGGCCTTCCTGACCAAGATCTGGTGGGGGGACATGGCCTCGGGCACCCCCATCCTGCGGCTGCTGGGCGCCTTCTTCTGCCCGGCCCTCATCTACACCAACCTCATCACCTTCAGGTACGTGGGCAGCCGCAGGCCCGCCCCGCCTCCCCGTCCGCGGGCCAGTGGGCGACCCGGGCGGGGCCTCGGGGCGGGCGGGGCGGGGCCTGGGTCCTGAGGGTCCCTGTGCTCACAGTGAGGAGGCCCCGCTGAGGACCGGCCCGGAGGACCTGCAGGAGCTGGACAGCCTGGACACGGAGAAGAGCCTGCTCTGCACCCCGGGGTGAGGGCCCTGGGGTGGCCCCCTGGGCAGAGCTGAGGCTTTGGGGCGCCACTGGCACCCGCCTCACTGCTGTGGCCTCATCGCCGTGCAGGGTGAAGGAACCGGGCCCTCAGGAGCGCAGGGCCAGGGGCCCCCAGGCCGCCTTCCTGCTTGCGCGCTGGCGCAAGTTCTGGGGCGCACCCGTGACGGTGTTCCTGGGGAACGTGGTCATGTACTTCGCCTTCCTGCTCCTGTTCGCTCACGTGCTGCTGGTGGACTTCAGGCCGCCTCCCCAGGGGCCCTCGGGGCCCGAGGTCACCCTCTACTTCTGGGTCTTCACCTTGGTGCTGGAGGAGATCCGGCAGGTCTGCGGCGCCCCCCCCCCCACCGCCGGCCAGGGCGCGCCCCCCAGCCCAGGGCCCAGGCAGCTGTCCCCGTGCCGCGCCAGGGCTTCTTCACGGACGAGGACAGCCACCTGGCGAAGCAGCTCACGCTCTACGTGGAGGACAACTGGAACAAGTGCGACATGGTGGCCATCCTCCTGTTCGTCGTGGGCGTCACCTGCAGGTCTGGGCCGGCTGCCCGGGAGCAGGGGGGCACGCCCGCGCCAGGGCCGCGCCGGTCACCACAGCCGCTCCGCCCCGGCCCCCAGGATGCTGCCCTCGGCGTTCGAGGCGGGCCGCACAGTGCTGGCCCTGGACTTCATGGTGTTCGCGCTCCGGCTCATCCACATCTTCGCCATCCACAAGCAGCTGGGCCCCAAGATCATCATCGTGGAGCGGATGGTGACGCCCCGCCCCGCCGGC